CCGAACCCGAATATTGCGAGTAATGAGTGGGCATGGGTTTCTCACTATCCAACCCGAACCCGCCCGATTATGAACATGCATATGTATTCTGTCTAGAAATAATCATTTTTTTCTCTAACATATTTTATATTTAGCATATAAATATAATATTTTCATGAAATTGTGTTGTTTTAATTAATTTTCTTCATTCTAGTGAATTATTGTCGTACTTTTCTTCTTACGTAATGTGAGAATACGTGTGAATGTTAACATATTGGTTATAGTTATAAAGAAAAATCATTACCCATGGATAACCGCGGATACCCGAAACCCGAACGGGTATGGGTATGATTTTAATTTTCTACCCATTTCACATGTGGGTATGGGTATGGGTAAAACCCGAACTACTTTAGGTAGGGTAACGGATATGCACTATCCGTCCCCGACCCGACTCATTGCCATCCCTAACCTTAATTATTAACCATGCTCACTAATTAAAGAACTTGAAAGCGGAAATGAAGACGGAGAGAAAGAGAGAATTTAAAGCATATCTTTGAGTTGTTATTGTTTCCTTCGATTTTGATCCAGCAAATCGAAAGCCATATCTTTGAGATGTTCTTGCTTCAGTCCTCTGATCTTTGATAATAGTGGGAGTTGTGGTGGTCGGAGGAGCAGCAGTAGCTCTAGTTGCAGCAGCGTCAGCGTCGGGGAAGAGAAAGATAAAGGTTCCAACCGTCAATCTGCCCTTCTTCCTCTACGGATCTCTCTCCTGACGGCCAATCTACCCTTCTTCCTCCCCGGATCCGTTTCCCAACCTCCGAATCCTCAAAGGGAAACCTCCAACCTGGGATTCATTGCTGCTCTATTGTTCTGCGTGAAGATGGGGAACATTGCTTTTGGATGGGGTTTTTCAGATTAGGGTTATCCGTAAAATCCCCAATTTGTTATTTGGGTTTATGGTGCATTTGGATGGGTTTTTGTGGCGGTAGATAAGGATTTGAAGGGGTGCAAGTGCGATGGAGAGATAAGGGAGGGAGGGAGAGAGACCAGGAACGTTGCTTTCGATTGCTAGTTGGTAGCTGGTGAATGGGACCGAGAGCGTTGCTTTCGATTGCTTGTTGGTAGCTTGTGAATGCGATAGATTTCTCCCCGCTCTGCTTTGTTTCAGAGACCAACGATATCCCTGAGTTATGGTGGAGGCGGGCTGGTGCAGCTGCAATCTGGACGGAGGAAGGCGGCGATCGTTGTTCCTGTTGGAGCTGGTTGTGCGAAGAGAAGGAGGAGAAAGTGTGCGGTGGTGTTTTTTTTTTAACGGCTATTTGCCGCCAATCAAATTGCTATTTGCCGCCAACTAAAAAAAAAAAAATGAGTTCAAATTTTGAATTTTTCCTTCCTTCCCAGTGCCTCCGTCGAGGGCACCGTTCTTCCGTCGTCGGCTAAACTCCCGTCGCCCTCAATCGTTGGAAAACAAGTAAGTTTACTTTTTCCGGCCAGTTTTTCAGTTTTCCGGTAACTTTTCCAGTTTTCCGGCGAAAAACACGGCGGGCCAAAAAAAAATTGCGGCCCTAACGCCGCCGAGCCGAAAAAAATTTGCGGCCGGGGCGACGGCCGGCCAAAAAATTCTTTCGGCCCGGCCAAAAAAAATTTGCGGCCGGAGCGACGTCGGGTCGAAAGAATTTTTTTCGGCCGGTCGCCGAACACGCCGGCCAAAAATTTTCCGGCGCCGTGTTCGTCGGCCGGCCGAAAAAAATTTGCAGCCGTAGCGACGTCGGGCCGAAAGAATTTTTCGGCCTGAGTAGTTGGGTTTCAGGCTTCCCACACGGCCGTGTAGCTCACCCAGCCTGGCCGTGTGAAGCCTCGCAGAATTCTACACGGCCAAAGTGCAACTTCACACGACCGTGTAGCTCGCCCAGCCTGGCCGTGTGAAGCCTCGCAGAATTCCACACGGCCAAAGTGCAACTTCCACGGCCGTGTGAGTTGTGTGTGTGCCCGTGTGGCTTTCTTTTTGACTTGTCTCGCGCCCGATCTTCGTCCAATCGACCCCGAACTCACTCGAAATCCATAATGAAATCCATAAGTTCATAATGACACTAGGGTCATTAAAAATACAACTAGAAAAACAACAACATATAAATAGAGCATTGCAACACTATGCATTGCTCCTACTCCTACCCCTTCCCCTAGCTCTTCAGGAGTATCTCTGCCTGGCTCGCTGCCGACCACCAAGGTTTTAGAGTTTAGGGTTTAGGGTTCAGGGTTTAGGGTTTAGGATTCAAGGTTTAGGGTTTGAAACACATGGTTCGTGTAGCACTTTTCCCACATTGTCTGGTGAGGCAACCACTCACCTCGCACGTAGGCAACCGCCGGAATTTTTTGGCCCGGCCAGGTTCCGGCCGCCGGAATTTTTCGGCCCACCGTCTGTTCGTTTCAAATCGTCGAAAAAATTGTTCGAAACTACAAAAAAATTACGCACCTGCTTAGTGATGATTCATGGATGCGTGTACGCAGTATATGTCGAGGATAGGCTTTCCCGATTATTTTCCGGCGAGTTTTTCGGCGAGCGTTGAATTTTTCTAATTCAATACGTTCTCTGAAAGTTGGATATGTTGTAGATTGTGAAACTTCTTAACCAATGATGTATATATATATGACAAAGGCTAGCGTACGTCAGTCGTACGCTGTACGCCTGTGTTCACACTAGAAAAATAATTATCAAATAATTTTTATTCATTTAAGTGGATTAATTATAATACTGATTAGAATTACAACCACATCAATTAATTAATTGTTGTTTATGTTTTAGTCCCCATCCAACTATAGAAATTTATTTTTCCAACTCGTCTTCTCCGCCTGTCCGGCATCTAGAGACAGCGGCGCGTGGAAAGGAGAGAGGCGGAGAGCAAAGGCATCCCGGATAGAACCCCAATTCCAGTCCGATGTCGGCGACAAGAGGCAGCGGCGCGCTGGACATGGGAGTGGCGGAGAGCAGAGCATAGGCATCCCCGATATAACCCCAATTCTAGTCGGATGCCGGTGACAGAGGGCCGACAATCCACTCCATACTCGACTGCAGAGGCATCTCGATTGAACTACAATTAGAATCCAACTGCAATCCACCTCCATACTTGGATCCTAGTTAACTATTAATGAATAAGCTCAGTGAATCCCAATTTTCATGTTCTTTTTTCACTCTGTTTACCAGGAACAGAACTTGGCAATTAGCGGGATCAACACCAAGGCTAGACCAGGATCTCCAATACATTGTCCGAATAGTTATTTCAATTGGATTTGTTCTTGAATCATTTGACGCACTCTCACCAAAATCTCTATGCTCTCCAGTTCGAGGCAGAGGCGAAGGGCTGAGACTATGAGAGGCTGAGGATCTAGCGGGAGTGGAGGGTCGGCGGAGGGCAGGTAGAGGTGAGGATGAGCTCCGGTTGTCGGAGAGAAAGGGGAAAGCGCGCCGAGCGCTCGACAGAGTAGGGGTTTAGTTAGTTTAGGATTGAAATTTATAATTATTGTGGGATTAAAATATACACAATTTTTTATAATGGATGCGGTTTTAATTTTCATGATTAATTATAATTAGTTAACTTAAAATTAATTTATCAGGTGTGAACGCAAGTGTATAGCGTACGACTGACGTACGCTAGCCTGAACCATATATATATATATATATTTTCATCGATGATTTTCCGGCGACTTTTCCGGCGGGCGTTGAATTTTACTGATTCAATACGTTCTCTGAAAGTTGGATATGGTGTAGATTGTGAAACTCCTTAACCAAAGATGTATATATATACTTTTTTTTTTGGTTGGCGGCAAATAGCAAACCCATTTTTTTTTTGGTAAAAAAACAATGGTGTGAGGTGGATTTGAGGAGATAATGAGGTGTAATAGTTTTTTATTTTTAAAATTGACATGTCATTAAATTAAAAGTCCGGTCAGCAGTTCTGTTTGGCATGTCATCAAAAATTAACGGAAAGAACGGAGATTAACGGTCGGTAACGAATGGTGAAACGATTCCTAATGTTAGTAGCGGATAAGAAAGAAAAGTAATTTGAGTGATAATCTTGAAATATTTATGTAATTTGAGTGACCAAACATGTAATTTAGCAAAAAAATTTATAAAGAAAATCTTGAGAAAGGAGAAGGCGGCGGTGTCACGAACATGAATTGGAGCAATGGGAGCCTCCGAATCTGGGACAAAGAACGTCGAAAGTAGGGAGGGAGAGAGAAAATCGAGAGGAGAAATAGTTCTTTTCTAGGAGAGGAAGATCGATTGGAGAAATAGAGAGGGAGATGGAGAATAAGAGATAAGAGGGAGGAGGGCGAGTTATTCTTTTTTGGGAGAGGACAGGACAAATGTAGAGAAAAGAGAGGGAGGAGGGTTTTTCTGCGGAGAGAAGGGACTCAGGGAGAGAGAAAGGAGAAATAAGAGGGAGAAGTTGATCTTCTTTTTTGAGGAAAAGATTGGAGAGAGGTAGGGTGAGATTTGTTTAAGGGAGTTGATAAAGGTCGTCCTAACAATTACTAATGATCGTCCTAAAAAATAACAAAGTTACACTTTTAATCTTTTAACATCTTTACCTTTCCTTTAGCAAACAAACACCACATTTACTGTCCCGTTAGTATCATTTTGTTGCTGTTGTGGTTGCAGTGGTGTTGTGTAAACAGATGTACAACCACAACAGGAAAAAAACAGAAAACACAAACCTGTTTAGTTGATAAATCTGAAAAATTGCGGTGCCTCGTGTTCGAGAGAAAATGGAGGGGTTGGGGGCGGCTGAAAGTAAGTAGGGTTTGGGGGTGGTATGTGTTAAAAAAAAATTGCTTCTGTGGGGATTCGAAAACTGGTCCGTTTTAATGAAATCAAGCGCCCAACCAGTAGGAATCCCGTGTACAACATGTTTAAGAATCAGATCCAAAGCTATAAATTGTTGTTTCTCATATTTGGGCCTTGTTGTGCAACTTTGATTCACAACAAAAAAATAAAAACCCAACTAAACACGATTTTTTTTCTTGGTTTTCCAAATTTCTTAAAACAAGCAACAATACTAAACGGGCAGAAAGCAAAAAACACTCATTCTCCCACACTCTCGAATTCATCATCGACATTTGGAAGCCGAAATCGTCGAGCATACGTCCGAACAATGAGTAGCGACTCCGACGAGGTAAAATCTCGTTAAAAAAAACCCAAAAATTCTCAACCGAATGTGATTTTCGGTTGGTCCATGGTTCAACAGAAAATTGGTTTCGGTTGAACCATGGACCAACCGAAATCACATTCGGTTGAGCCATGGATGAACCAAAAATCTGTTTCGTTTGTGCCATGGGTGAAACGAAATTTTGTTTCGGTTGATCCACGGTGGAACCGAACCCTTCCTTCGGTTAGGCCATGGTGAAACCGAAAATTGGCTTCTGTTTAGCCATTGTGGAACCGAAAATTTGCTTTTTTTTTGTCGAAAAGATAGCTTGCATTAAACAAGAACACAAAGTTACAAGGCCTGTGACCTAAGCCACCCACAAAAATCAAACCCATTACAACCCGCAGGAAACAAAGACAGGGCCTTCTTAGCCACCATATGGGCTACCCTATTGTTCTGTCTACCCACAAATTTCACCCTAAATCCTGGGGACAGCAAGAGAAGCTGGCGAATTTCCTCAAACAGAGCACCACCAGTAGCAGCACAAACATCCCTAGCGTTAACCTTGTCGATCACAATCTTGGCATCCCCCTCAAACGTAACAGCCTCCAGGCCACGATGTTGACACCACCGCATCGCATCCCGCAACGTTGACAGTTCCACAAGCATCGGATCTTGCAGACCGGTAAACATCAGCCCTTGCGCCGCAAACACCGCTCCCCCTGCCTCTCTTAAGACCACCCCACCTGCCGCATGGGACCCGTCATGGACTGCCCCATCAAAGGAGCATACCACACCGTCCACAGAACCAGCATCCACCGTAGGCTGATCAGTACCACGGCCCCCCGAAGGCTCACCCACACTATTCCCATCCCCCTGGGGAAGTTGCTCCCATTCCGACACTTGATGTAGAAACTCCTGTCGAAGAATACTCGGGAGAATCTGCTGTCCCTCAAAGACCACAGAGTTCCTCCCCTTCCATATCCTCCACAGTAAACACATCAAACGCACAACACGCATAGGTGACCCGTCTCTCTCCAAAAATCGCCTAAAAATATGTTAAAACTTACCGAAAATTTGCTTCTGTTGGTGGCTTTTAGGTTTATTTAAGTTTATATCAAATATTTCTATTTTTTTGTTATGATTTATATTTTGGTCTATAAGATTGTTTGTTGAATTTTAGATTATATTATTTTTAAAATTTATGAGCCTAATTATTTGTGAAATTGAATGTTTTTGTATACAAAATTAAGATTAGATGTAAAATACGCAATAAAAAAATTCTAGAATGTGATTAATATGATTCTTGCATTAGATGTATAGTATGTAAATAATAGAGAATGCTAAATTTTGTCATGTTAAATGTTGGATTTTGCTTAGGAGAATATAGAGAATGCTAAATTATTTGTGATAATTGTTAAATTAAATGTAGTCGTTAGATTTTCTATTATTGTGGAGTCCTACTTATATCATGAGATCTAACATTGTAGGATATTGATGATTACGGAGGGGATGACAAAGATTACACCTCAGAATTCGTCAATGGAGTAAAATACGATACGGATTTGATTGCATATGCAGCAGCTACTGAGATTGCCAAGGGTTTTGGGTTTTATTTAGTGAAGGCATCAAATAAAAAAAATCCAAGTGAAGATAGTAGACGACGATACTTGAAGTGCACTCATGGTAGGAAGAAAAAATCGAAGGCTCCTGATTCTGATCCGGCTAAGGAAAGGAGGCCTCTTACTTCTTCTGGAAAGTTGGGGTGTGAATTTCAGATCAAGATTGAGCGGTCAGATGATGGATATTGGTTGATACTAGCAGTGGCTAATACAAAGAATCCTGGTGCTAATTTGGGTTTTCACAATCATCCGCTGAAGCTATTTCCGAATGGATCAAGTAAGAGGAATGCTTTGACCGAAGATGATAAGCAATACATCAGACAACTGAGATTAGCCGGTGTCGCCCCAAGGAATATCCACAAGGCAGTGAACGATAGAAAAGATGAGCATGGAAAGGTGAACAAAAGACAGATTTCTAACGCATTGTATAAGATAAGAAAAGAAGAGCTTGGTCAGAGGACGGCATTACAGTACACTTTTCAAGATGCTCGGGAGAAGGGTTACTATGTGCAGTATGTGGATGACCGTAACGTGCTTACACACTTGTTCCTGGCCCACCCTGAGTCAATATTGATGTTGCGAGCTTGGCACCATGTCATTGTGATAGATGCAACATACAAGACCAACAAGTATGAGTTTCCATGGGTTGAGATTGTTGGCAAGACACCGGTGGGATTGAACTTTGTCATTGCATCTGCGCTAGTGTATGACGAGACAAAAGAGTCGTACCACTGGCTTCTCACGCATCTGCAACATTTGCTTGGCTCTATCACTCCAGATGTATTTGTTAGTGACAAAGCAGGAGGATTGGTTGAGACCGTGGTGTTAATGTTTCCATCATCGACTCATATACTATGCCTTTGGCATGTAGACAGGAATGTGAGAGCACGGTGTCTAACGGAGGTGAGGAGGACGTCTCATTGTAGGATAGATGCAGCCCAACCGACAGTGGATCTGATCATGGCGTCTTGGAAAAGGATTGTATATGTCGGCAGTGAGGAAGGCATGAATAGAGCTTTAGACAGTTTCAGGCGTAGTTGGGGAGTACAGTATCCACGTCTTTGGAGGTACTTGTCAGATGAGTGGTTACCATACAAGCACACGTGGGTAACATGTTATACAAACCAAGTGCGACATTTGGGTAATACAAGCTCAAATCGGGTTGAATCTGCTCATTCATCCTTCAAGAAGTGGCTTCAATCAGCAACTAGTGCAATCGACACGGTTAGTCTCTTAATAAATTTTCATTTATGTCTTCTTTAGAAATTTTACTTAATCTAGTATCCTAATTTTCTTTCTTTGTTTGTAGGTTTATAAGAAGAACCATGATTACATTGAGGCTCAACATCTTCAAATCCAAAAGCTTCTAGAGGATTCTAGATTAAAGAAGATGTTACTAGCTGACGGAAGACCATTTCGGGAGTTGCATACAAACGTCACTCTACAGGCTATGAGGTTGATGCTCATTGAGGTATCAATGGAAGGAGCAAGTTGTACATGTACGTTTCCTGCTATCTTTGGTCTCCCATGTAGATGTGCAATGCAGTTAGCACGTTCTGAAAAGCGGGACATTGCCCCATATGAGGTGTTAGCTTTTTGGACCATTATGAACTATCGTGAACCTCCTACTCGGGCAGAGTGGGATGGCGATAGTCTTTACCATCGTGATGTCTTCAAAGGTCTAGTACAGGAGGTTCTTGATAGGGGAGATGAGACCATTCGAGGGGCTATTGGCCTACTTCGGAGTCATCTTCATCCTGAAAATGATGGCATTGATGAGCCGCATGGGGATCAGCCCTGACCCGGTCGCCCGAGGACATCCACCACGCGAAACCTTTCTCACTTCGAGCATGTGGAGAGGAGACGGGGGAGGAGAAGTTGGATACCTTCGACCACAACACCGGACAATGACCATAGGACCGGTAGGTTGTACTTTTTGGGAAATTTATGTTCAATTGTGTAGAATATGATGTATAACTAACTTATTTTTGTAAATGATATTAGGTGGTATCCCTGATGCACACACCAACTTTGAGTCCACAAATACGAATGGGACGGAGCCGGATACTCATAATGATACAGGTTAGAAGTAGTGTCTCTATTTTAGATGATTAGATGTTGTATACCTCTTGTATTAAGTCATTGTGTTGTGTATTTTGGGACCGATGGTGCCCCTTGGAGGGTTATCAGGACTCCCAATACTGGTTGGCGGAGTTACCCGTGGTTGTATTTTTTGGAAACATACGTGCAACCATACATTCGTGGTTGGTTCAACCCAAAACCGGATGGACATTGCGGATTTCGAGCAATATCACAAGCACTTACCGGGTCCCAAAACAATTGGTTGCAAATGAGACGTGTCGTTGCAGAATAACTTGAAGCCCGACCTGAGCTTTACAGACCATACTACGATGGAATTTCCGACGAAATAGATAATGGGCTTCGGCGTTGCAGGTGGACTCAAGATCGTGGTTGTGGCGTTACCCACTAGATGGATAATGTGGAGCTTTTTGTCTTTGCCACATTGCATTCATGGGTAATTGCTGTCTATAGTCAAGGCGGTCGTTATACCGTGCTACCTGTGATTGCCCCACCAGGAGTAACAAGACCACGTGGGATCGTGAACCACACTCCACTAAAGAGTATTTCCGACTAACTGGTCATACAACTCGTGAACCACACTCATCATATCGTAGTACTCAGATGTATTCTCCACATAGTGATCTTTGTCCCTCACCACCAACACAGGACCAAGCTTCTCCACAATCTGCTTCCTCAACTGTAAATACAAAAATAATGTCATGAATGGGAAAAAAAAAGCATATTAACAATACATTAAAAATTGAACAATTATGACATAACTAACCTCATCGACTAGCACTGGCCACTGTAGAGACACTCCACCAGAGTCCGGATTGATGATCTGTGCGTGCGATCAAGTCCGGTACCAGTCCATGTAATCCTCATCGGCCTCAGATGGATACTCGCACAAGTCAGAATCAATCGCTATGTGTAGAAAATGAGACGGCAAGTTGCCCCATAACCGATCCATGCTACCCTCCCAGAAAACGATGTAGGTGCTGCAAGAAGCTGGGCGGTACACATCCTTGGGAACCATAATCGTACGGGGGATAGTCTGTCGGTACCCAAACTGTCGGCGACACCGTGCATGATCATAACCCTCAGCAACGTCAGCAAAGCGAATGACACCAGTATACAAAGAGCGTAGTACCTCCGTGCCAGCATCTTGCCCGTAAGGAGTCCAAGACACATCCTCCCCTGACATCTCATCCAACATCTGTCGATACCGTACCAACCGCTGTCTAGCATCATCACCACCTGCAAAGCGGTGACACACCCACGAGGAACCACGAGGAGCATCTGGAGCCTTGAGAATCTGGCTCGGACGGAAGAGTGGAAAGTACTCATATATATCCACGCCTGAAGCAGAGTCAAACAACCACAAATACTCTTACTCCCCACTCGTGTGGCCATCCCTAGCTCTCTGTAGAGATAGGCGAGTGCAGCAGCTCCCCAGGCGTAACCGGCCACTCGTCGCTGGTCCTTCAGAAATACATTGATCGCAGGACGGAGGCAATCGCGACTCTTATCCACAAAAAGTGTGGATCCCAACAACACAAACAAGTAAGTCTGCACCTCCAGGTCCCTCATCTTCATTTCTCGTCCACACACCAACAATCCCTCTGCGTGTATACCACCATTAAGGAACCACTTCGACTTCCACTTACCACCAACAGGACCATCCACCGGGACCCGAACTAGATCATGCATGTCTAACTTAAGAACATCTGGATGCGGATCATCTCTCATCAGCTGCCCCTCAACTGGAATACGAAGAATGTGATGCACGTCGTGGAGAAGAATCGACATCTCTCCAAATGGCATATGGAAGGTGTTCGTGTCCGGCTGCCATCTCTCCATAAATGCCGTTATCAAAGCTGTATCTAAATGCTGCATCATACACCCTGCCAAGTGGGACAATCCTGTGCCCTCAACCACCTTCTGAGAACCCTCTGAACTCCACTCATATCTCCTCAAAGACTCCACACTACCAGATCTATGACAACAATCCAACAACCCACGATCCTGCGCTGGGGAAGTCCGAGAGAGAAGAGCGGCAGGAGATGGGTTAGGTAGGGATTGATTAGGTCTAGGTTTTTTTTAATTATTAATATATGATATTTTAAATTACAAAATAGTCACTAAATTGTTTATATACATGTAAATTTTGAATGCTACTTATGATTGTTACAAAATAGTCACTAAATTGTTTATATACATGTAAATTTAGAATGCTACTTATGATTGTTTATATATGTTTGGTAATGAAGTAATGGTTCGTTAGCGGGTTTTCAGCGGGTTAATGCCGGTTAGACGAATAAAGTGCGAACCGTTAACTGTATTGGTTCATACTCCGATTCGGTTTTCACAACATTGGTATTC